GCTATGAGTCGGTTCTGACTCGTTGGCACCTGACAACAACATAGCATTTTCAAAGCTGTGACCTTTTGGAAGTAGATTGCTAGTCCTGTATTCCAAAGATCCTCTGGGTAGGTTTAAACTTAAAATTTTGCCAAGTAGTTAAGTGCTTAATTGTTTGCACCACCCAGGAACTAAAAACCCAATTGTGCTCATAAATTTGATTTAGTAATTGGCTGCAAAGAATGAGCAAAAACTATATGTATAAGCAAAACTAAAAAGATCTGCAATGTCCAAAGAGCTTGGACTTAAAAATATTAGAGGTCTAGATTTTTATCAGATCCATAAACAAAACAAATAGAAAAAGCAGTCATAATATAAAATAGCAACTCCAAGTAACTTCAAGTTTTTATTATCTTCTTTAGAAGTTAACTCTATCAGTTAGCCTCATTCTTGGATGATATCAAAATTTTCCACAAGATCTAGAACTTCATCATCATTATCATCTTTTTACCAACAATCATGTTTTTCCATCCACAGTTGGTTTGTGCAGAGCTTCAGCCAGTCTTCTTAAACTAGTCAGACTGTCTGCGCCAGGCTGGTTTAAGATGCTGGGGAGCATTTCTGTCAGCTGTTTTGTCTCAGCGTGGCCAGTAATGGTGAATGTGTTGGCTGCCAGAGATGCCTGAACTTTAAGATTGTTAAAGTGGATTAGTTCCTTGGTTTGTGAACATATTCACCTCTTCAGTACCAGAGATATTATTTACCCCCAGTTTCTTTACGGAGAACTGAAGTTTTTTATCATCTGCTGTGGCTGTCCTATGAATCACCTTCTTTCTGCGAGCAGTTCCTTTTCTACCAGTGCACCCTTGTGCTTGCAGTTTGGCAAGTTTTTCCTGATTCATAATCGTTTCTTTCATCTTGTCAGAGCAGAAACACGAGGGACTAGAGCTGGTGTTCAGGGGATCCTTGGCAGACCAGCTAAAATTATGCGCACACACACAGGGACACAAGATGGCAGCTAGAGGGAGACCAGAAGTCAATATTGTTATAGTTTTATTTCCCCAGAAGTGCTGATCTGAAGTATGTTCTCATCTCATCATTGGTGGCTTATATTTGCTGTCTTCCTTAGGGTTAGAAGTACAGCCAACTGAATTAATTATCAAGAACTACAGATAATTGCTTTGATCAGTTTCTCTCACAAGGAAATTCTTTGACATTAAAATAATTTGTAGTTGTAAGTGATCATTTTCCTGTTCCCTTCTGTTTTTTTTCTCAGATGTGCTATACTTATGTTTCAAAGAGAGTTTGCGCTCCGACTGGTTGCCAAACCTGGAGACAAGTTGTATTGCAGACTCTCTATTAATACCCAGCTGCTAGCACGTGTAGACCATCTAATGAAAGTAAGTGGTTTTTAAATGATTAAATTAGCTTAACTCAGCTTTGACTATCTTGTGCCTTCTTAAGGAGTACATCTTAGGTATCTAATTTTGTCTTTAAAGACTTCTTAAACAGTTTTTGATTTATAGGTTGGAAAGAATAACTTCAGACCACCACCCAAGGTAGAATCCAGTGTTGTAAGGATAGAGCCTAAGAATCCACCACCACCTATCAATTTTCAGGTGAGGTTAAAATACCAGGTCACTCAGTAAAAAAAAGTCCACGAAGCAGAAAAATAATTGAATCAACATAAATTTTTAAATTTTTGTTAGGTTCCTTCAAATTGGTTCCAACTCTTAGTGACCTTATGCACAGCAGAACAAAACAAAATCCTGCGCCATTCTCACAGTTGTTGTTATGCTTGAGCCCATTGTCTGCCACTGTGCCAGTCTTACTTCATTGGGGGTGCCAGTCTTACTTCATTGGGGGTCTTCCTTTTTTCCCTCTGACCCTCCACTTTACCAAATATGATGTCCTTCTCTAAGGACTGGTCCCTCCCAATAGTATGTCTGAAGTATGAGAGACAAAATTGTGAATTTTCAAAAATAGGAAAATGCTAATTACAATATATCTTTATAATGGAGGAGGTAGAATAATTTGAAGATGGTTATGGAGACCAAAATAGGCAATGGAAAGTGCTTGTACTGGGCAAAAATATTTTAGTACAATTGCACTTTGCTCAAGATTATAGTGATGTTGGTAAGTGCCATTGAGTTGGTTCTGATTCAGCAACTGTTAGGGTTTCCAAGTGCCTGGAGGGTTTGAACTGCCAACCTTGCTGTTAGTACTGCAGTACTTACCCCAAAGTGCCACAGCAGGTTGAAAATTTGAATATGATTTTTACTAATCTACTTGAATATAAAATAAAATGAAAGTAATGTGTTAAAAAAATATTGTAGCTAACACTTTCAAATAAGAGTATTTGTTTTTGCTACTTAAAGAGGAAAGGAAGCCAGACCACTTAATGTAAAAGTATAATTCCATTGGTGAAAAGCATGACTGGTGGTCAATAATGGTTTAGGTAAATTGCACAGGTCATGTCTGCTTTAAATCATGTGGATTTTGAAAACTAAGCCAAATTTGGTTGCCATCAACTTGGTTTCCAACTCATAGTGACCCTATAGGACAGGATGGTACAGCCAGTTTCCAAGACAGTAATCTTTCTTTATGGAAGCTTGGTTTGAACTGCTGACCTTGTGGTTGGCAACTGAATACTTTAACCACTGTGCCACCTGGGCTTCTTTAGAAAATGATGTTATTGTTAAGTGCTAGTGAGTCCATTCTGATGCACTGTGATCATCCTGTATAGGGTTTCTGAGGAGAGGCTGGTGGATTTGAACTGCTGAATTTGCTATTAGTCCAGTGCTTATCCTATAGGACAAATGCCATGTTGTTTGTTCGGATGTGGAACTTTTGTTTTTTAAATTTAGGACAATATACATTAGTTGAGTACAGGAAAGTACAAAACACTTAAGTATATACATCTGGCTTTTGCTAGATCATCAATTTAGATGGCTCCTTTTGGTTATCTAGCAGGTTGACAAGAAGTTTGTTATTGTGTAAGAAAATACTAATCTGTTTCAGGAATGGGATGGCCTAGTAAGAATCACCTTTGTTAGGAAAAACAAGACACTGTCTGCTGCATTTAAGTAAGTATTTTTATTTGTCTAATGTATGGCAGAATACTACTCCAGAAACTAAGTGCTAGAATTTTCATCCTTTTCCTGAGCAGCTACCATCGCATAAAACTCATTTCTAGACATATGTTACCTTTTAAACTAACTTGGCACTTTAGATGGCAGATTAATGAACAAAGTTTCTAGTGTTGGGAGTCAGGTTTTTTTCTTCTTTCTTTTGATAAAATAGGAAAAAACAAAAACCACAGGAACTGACTATAGGCATCTGCCAATTTTTTTCTCAGTTAAAATGGGGTGTTGAGTCCCTTCCACATTCATGGAGTCATGCCATTTTCATTGGAAAAATATGCCCGTTTGGGGTCCAAAAGTGACAGCCTTATTTTTGAAGAGTTTCAGTTTTTTAAGACTACTTAAAGGAAGTCTGTCTCTAATCTTGATTTGAATGTAACAATAGTGATATAATTTCTGTATGCTGTAGATCGAGTGCTGTGCAACAGCTGCTGGAAAAAAATTACAGAATTCACTGTTCAGTCCATAATACTGTAAGTAGAAAATGTTTCTGTATTTTCAGCGGTGTCTTTTAAATGTCTGTCTTATTTTTTGATATCATTACGTAATTCTTTGTTTGCACATTTCCCAAGTATTTGACAGTACACTTAAAAGACAGTATTTAAAAGCTGTAACTTGGAATTCTGATGTGGTGCTATGTATGTAGTCTAACATGCTCAGGACTTAAAATTCTGTCCCTATTTCTTGTCCTCTGAATTGTGAACTTCCTTTCTGTATTCGTTTCTCACATAGCAATTACAAATTTAAACATTTGCTTTCTAGGTCCTTGTATAAATGCTTTTTAGTGGTTCAAACCCACCTGGTGGTTTTGTGGAGGGCCTCACTTGGGTCAAGATGGTTGTTAAGTGCCGTTGAGTCGATACTGACCCATAGTGACCCTGTATAGGGTTTTCCAAGGAGCAGCTGGTGAGCTCGAACCACTGACCTTGCAGTTCAAACACCTTTGCAATCTGAGCTGTAGAGTTCTGCGGATATTTGTTCTGTAACTTTTTAAATACCCAATAATTGAACTATGGTACAGGCTGAATAACAGCTTTCTTGTGAATCTCATGTGTCTTTCTTACACATTACCTCCACACTGTAAGCCTTTGTTTGTGCATAGCACACAGAGACTTTTATCTTCAATTTAATTTAGCAGATACTGTCATTTTTATTTTTTAGACTGAGATCCTGTGTGTTTGAATGAACTACATTGCTACTTTTTATCTTTTACGGGCAATCATTAAACATTTGCCCAAGCAGGAAAATATTAACTAGATTAAGAAAAATCTTTGAATTGAAAAATGTGAATTAAACATAAAATAATATTCTCAAGGATTTGAGGTCATTATTTTGAGTAAAATTAGTTGGTAAGTTGAAATTTGTGGCATAACAGTGTGTTCTTTTGAAAGAACAGTTGCTTTATAGCCTGCAGTTTTTATCGTCTTATTAAGCAGCATTCCTGATTAGCTCATTCACGGTGTTCAGCGTGTGGTAAAGGTCAGTTAACATATGTTAAGATCCAACTTTCATCTTCAGAGTTCCCAAATTGTCATTGAAAATATTTTAAAACATGACTATTTTAAGACTTAGTTAAAAAATAAAGAGAGTCAGGGTGACTTCATTAAAGATATGTTGTTCATTTATTCTGATCTTATTATTGATAGATAATACCAGAAGATTTCAGCATAGCAGATAAAATACAGCAAATCCTAACCAACACAGGTTTTAGTGACAAACGGGCCCGTTCCATGGACATAGATGACTTCATTAGGTAATTACATTTCTCTTTGCCTAAGTGTTTACATTTCTTTATCATGACACCTTTAGACTAAGAGACTTAAAGGCTTTTCAGTGGTAAAAGTGCTACCTGGGAGAGTTATTGCATAGCACTTCCATGGTATGGAATAGTATTTGGTGTAAAAGATGAAAGCTAGTTAGCTGCAGCAGATTGAATGATTTTCTTTAAATAGTAAACAACAGTCCGAGCCAAAGATAGTCTTTGTATTAATATGAGCAGTGCATGCGTCCTCTGCTTTTCTTTTGAGTCCCACCATCTCATTGTCTTAACAGCGTGTCTCTTCAAAGTACCTTTTAAGGTAGAATGATAGTGACAATTTCCTTAACTGCAATTTAATCTCATTGTTGGTTTTTGAGTTGGAAATTGCTGTTGTTAAATAGATTTTAAACATGAAATAATGTCACTTACAGTGTGCAGTTTATCAGCTTGAATCTAGTACGTATACAAGAAGTAATTTTTAATTATTATGAACATCAAGTGTAGTTGAGTTCAGAGAGGAAGAATGGGCATATAAGATTAGTCAATCCTAAGACTTTTTGTTCACTTAAGTTGAAGTGGAAAGAATGCCACGCCTGGGATAAAGCTGTCGAAGATAACTTTTGTTACATAACTTCAGATGTATGGACTGTGACAAAAGAGGGACCGACCACAAAGGAGGTTTTAATCAATATATATCTTATAAAACTTACTTGGGGAATAAGATTTCCTTAGTGTTAGGAAAGGTGAGCTTTACAAGTTTGCTGATGTTTTCATGTTTTAAAATTCATGCATAAGAACTATATACTGTTATGTGCTACATACTAGCTTTTTAATACCCTCCCCCCCTTTCCCCAGATTGCTACATGGATTCAATGCAGAAGGTGTCCATTTTTCTTAGTTATCTGGAAAGCAGAATTTTTCAAGGTCAAGAAAAACTGGAATTAATGTTTTTAATAATCCGAGAAGATGAACTGTGTTGTATACCATTGGATCAGTATTTATTTGACGGCTTTTTAAATACTACTGCCGCTACCAGTTTGTTATTCTAATTTTCTAAGGTAGTCAGTTCTAGGATCCCTGGTGATATACAGGTTACGCACTCGGCTGTTGCAAACCCACCAGCTACTCTACTGGAGAACCACGAGGCAGTCTGCTTCAGTAACTATTTACAGCCTTGGAAATCTTGTGGGGCCGTTCTGCCCTGACTGATGAGTCCAAATCAGCCTCAGCAGCATTGGGTTTTCTTGTTTTTATACAAGGCAGAATCCAATCCACATATAAATAATTTTCAAGCGCCGCAGACACGCACAACTTTACACTTAAACTTATTTTTAACAGTTTATTGTATAAAGATGTTACTCTCCTCTTTTCGGGCTTATATATTACTGTGGGTATCTTTTCGAGCTGTCCCTCAAGTAGTAAAAAAAGTTAAATGTAACTCATCACATACCATTCATATGTACAATAAAACTTTTCTTACAATGCTTATTTACTTCTCTCATTCCTCCTCTGTGTATCCTATAAAAATCTCTTTTAGTAATTTCCCTTGCTCATCCTTTTAGCTATTGTACAACAGGGTTTTGTATAAACCTGAGCCTGCTACTGCCACCTTGTGGTGTCAGGCATGTTACTCTGGGTATAATGTATGATTTTTACCTGTAAAGTAAAGCTAAATTAAAATGAAATGAAATAGGATTCAGTTTTTTTCTTGGGGGGATAGTTAAAAAAAAAATTAAAGGTTTTTATAAATCAGTTTCTGCTCTTTAACTTAAACAGAATACAAACAACGAAAAACAGCTATTTCTCCGAAACCACAGATATGCCATGGGGTCCACAGTAGTTGTTTAGGATAAGCACTGGACTGTGAACTACCAGGTTGGTGGTTCAAGTCCACTAGCCATTCCATGGGAGAAAGATGAGGCTTTCTGCTCCTGCGAAGGTTTATAGCCTTGGAAACCCTATACAGGGTTGCTATGAGTTAGAACTAACTTGGCAACATTTTTAACAAAAACAGATCTCTATGAACTACTGTTTAGATCATCAATATGATACTAAGTGCTATTAATGCCCTTTAATAGTTATGTCTGATTATTTGTATAATAAAATTAAAATATCTTCATGGTAAGTAGATAGAAGGAAAATTTCCAAATTAAACCTACAAGGGAAGATAAGTTGCTTGCCTGAATAAATTTTTGGGAAACGGCTTTGATGACATTAACCACCACTACATAATTAAACAAGGCCACTGTTTGGAGTCTTGTTTGTAGCGATACAGGATAAGCACTCAACTGCAAGATCAGTTTGAACCACAAAGTCGGTGGTTAAAACCAGCTGATCCCTGGAAACTCTAGGGTCGCTAGGCGTCAGAGCTGACTTGATAACACTTGGCAACATTCTTATTAACAGAGGGATATTAGCTTTTAAGTCTGAGAAAGTAGTAATAGAATGCAAAACAAAAAATTATTTAAAGCTTACTTTAAATAACAGCTTCATTAAGTCTTTTTGTTATGCGATACTATGTATACTTAGGGTGCTGGACTTAAAAACAAAAAAACCTTATAAAACAACTTAATTGAGACAGTTCACTTGTACCATCTATATAACCCCAAAAAGCATGATTTCAATTTAAAATTTAAATCGGCTTTCTTAGGTAATTCGTAAAATTGAAGAATTACACCTTCAAGATTTGATACTAATTTTCAAAATAGACTTTTGATTACTAACACCAGAATGAAGCCAGTCATACTAAAGGCAGCATATTTGTCTATTAGAGAAGATCTTCTACAGATAGTACCCACCTAAGGCAAATAATAAAACTTAACCTTTATTGTGCTTTTCAAAAGAGCCAAATTCTGTTTCTTGCCCTTTGGTGGCTGCTTAGTCCCCAAAACCTTTCCAACAGCCTCTGCAAGGTCAATATTAACAGTTTCCCATTTGTTCTTATTGAAATAAACACAAATAGAACATGTTATAAGAAAACCTGAGTCCCTTCCAAAACAAATGTGATTGCATTGAATTAAGTTATCTCAAAAAGTCATTCCATAGGTTTAATTTATTCATAAGCACATTGTTAAAATCTACATTTGTTTTCGATTTCATGTATACAGAGGAGCTTTCCACCATGATGGTAGGATTTACCACAACAACCCTCTGAGTTGTATTAACAGTGAAGTTAGAGAATCTGGCTCATGCAACTCTATTCATAGCTTCCCTTTGGACCCATACGAATGAGCCAATAGTTCCCCAGAGTAAACTGAAACTAGATATCCTTGGGATTTTTGTTGTTGATAATTTACTCCTGGACTCTATCCTGGGAACGGAGGGAAAACTCCTAGAGTGAAATATAAATCTTTTAACAAAATATTTACATGAGAAGTGGCCAGCGTTTCTTCCCTTGAGTAGCAATCTGTAAAAATAAGTGCTGCCATTTAAAAAGTAGCATACCATACGCCAATTTACTGGGGAGAATTTAGTGATTCTCAATAAAGGTGAAACAACACATTAGGTACTATATGAAACTTCGGTTAGATCTGCCTTTTAAGGCAAAGACAACTTTTTGTAAAAAAAAAAAATTTTTTTTTTAAGGTTGTTAGGTACTGTCTACACTTGCTTTAAACTAACATTTCTATTGTGGACTATTTTCATTGTACATTTAAATGTTCATGCATTAGAAGCCAATTTCCTTTAACAGTACATTAAAAGGGTACATTTTTGGGTGCTAATGGATACTTAAGTCTTGGTAAGGATCAAATTGCACTATTAGTCTTGTTAATAATACCACACAGGAACACACACTGCATATATATGTATCATCCTAAGATAAAACTCTTCTCAGAATTTCATTACTTTTTATTATACACCAACTAGTTTATATTTTAGTTCTTTACAAAGAAAAAGCTAAGAAAATTATAACCACATTAGATGGTTTTCAAATTCCTAATTCCAGATTTCTTTACAGATAAGATGGAATGGCCCAGCAGCTATGTCCACGGTCACAGACGTTAGTTCCGTTCAATGATATGGCACATCCTGCAAAATTAACTAGTCACACACAAAAGGTCTCAAATACAGTAAAAATGTACACACAAGAAAGGTAATTTACAATGACAAATAAGGAATGTAATTTATCTTGGCTGTGCTTCAGAAATTTAGGGTCAGTAGCCTTAGTGAAGGCACAAAGCAGGAAGAGGTAAGCACAGCTGTCTCTAGAAGTGGGCAAGGTCTGTACAATCACTGATGAGGTATGCATGCACGCAAAGGATTTAAAACCACTCAGTCTTGCTACAAAAATGGAACAAAGTTAAAAGGAAATGCTGTGGCTTCTCCCTACTACCCGTGGATCAAGTCCACAATCTTAATTCATCATAAAGAAAATAAAATTGGCAAAGATCTTCAAAGTAAAGCACTATTTGGGTAAACAAACCAAAATGCTTAACCAATCCCAATTCTTGGTTGTGCACCCTGGACTAGAAGCATTTTGTTGACAAAGGAGTGTTTCACAAAATTGAAATGTCATTCAGGTGAAAGACAAGACATTTTCCACAGACACTTAAGATTTCAAACTTTCAAATGATCTTTAGAGTTGAACCATTGCATGTTTAAGTAATGAGGGTTCTGGGGCCTTTCTTAGCAGCAATGCAGATTTAAAGGGCACGAGGTCTCTTCGGATTGATTTGCTTGCTGGCCTGTTCTTCTTCTTGTAGAGCTGCACGAAAAGATTTCACTTTATCTTGGGAAAAGAGAAGAACAAGGGAGTAAGTATAGCATTACAAGCAATATAGTGCATAATTTTATGGGTTTTATAAAGGCAAGAATTATTTCATAGCAACAACTATGCTTCCTTTTGGTCCTTGTCTAGAAACACAAATGTAATGCTCAACTACAGCAATAATTTCATTACCAATTCCTGGAAATAGTTATTTACCCTTTCAACAGACTTAAGCAGTTTTTAGTGCTCAATTTTAATTTATTCCAATTCCTTTGGAACTAATACATAGGCTGTGTATGTGTATAAAATATGTACATGAATGTCCAAAAGGAAACAATCTCATTAAACTATAAGACAGACATTTCTTTAAATAATAGGATATGTCTGTAGGAATATGAAACGGATAAGCAAATTGGCAAAGGCAAATAACAACTGTGAAGATGAGAAGTCAGAAGCTGTCTACAAACAAGGGGCTTAGACAAGTTCATGAAAAATTCCATTATCTCCCCCCCATTATCTTTTAATTCTATTTTTTCAGGAACCTTTTGAAGTCTCCTTGTATAGAACAATGACCCCAAATACTTCAATCCAAAGGAAATACTTTTTAAAAGTACCCGCCTACTAACCTAAAAATCAGTGTTTCACATATAATTTACTAAAATATCTGTATCTTTTTAAATTTACGAAAATATATATCAAACTTTTTTAAATGGTAAGATTACTTTTCCTAAGACTTAAAAAACCAAACCAAACAAGAAACCAAGATGATATTCCAGAATTTTTTAGAATATTTTTGTCTTTATGCCTTTAGAAAGAAAATACTAAATGGTGTTCATAATTTACACTTGCAAATATGAAGCAGATTTCAAAAACTAAAATAAAAAATAATTACCCCGTAGCTCAGTTAAAATGTCTATTTTTTGCTCAAGAATAGCTTCAAGTTGTGTAGCGTACGAATCTACATCATAGTCTACTTCTTCAGTCATCTCTAGGAGAGCTTTTTCATCTTCTAACCATCTAATGGATTCCTAAGGGAACAAAAAATTAAGAATCCAATAAGCCTCGCTATAAGACAGAAAAACCAGTTTACTGAGCAATGTGATGAGTTTATGGTATAACCTACATCTTTTAAGTCACCTGAAATGACTATACCAGCTGGAGCCTAACTTCTATATACCAACTCTTCAAAG